AAAAAAAAGCGGTTGAATCCCACGTATTAAACAGTAAAGGAACGAAATAGTGGCAACTGAAGGGTGCGATAGTTGTTTGTGATGTCTGAAGAGACAAATGTATCTTATCGAGTGCTTATTGTTTTAGCCTTAAACCATTTTTTATGCAACCGATCAGGTAAAGATCATCTTTGATTATCGTGTCTTGATGTAGTTACGTATACTAGTGTACGAGCGCTTGCCGCAACTGAATAGAGAAAAGTTTTTGGAGATTTTTTGCACGATTTGATGTTAATGTTGATGTACAATACGTGTGCACGTGCTTCGGTTAAACTCATCACTTTGCTGTTGCTAATGAATGTTAGTTTGCTTTTTGTTATATACAAGGAGTCACAAAGCATCTTGCACTATATGTATGGTAGGAGCAATACATGCAACAGAAATCAACGCTTGTTGTGTCAGGATTTGACGAACAATTTTTAGATTTGCATGTTCATTTTGATCTTGCATAATGCGCGTGATGTGATGTGATTTAGGGAGTATCCGGGTGGCGGCATCGATTCTGTTGCCCTAATGGACTCGATAGTCGATGTTATATTTTTTGCCGATATCTTATTAAACTTCCATACTACTTTTGTTGGACCGGGTGGAGAGGTGTGCTAGAACTTCAATCGTTGTATCTGACTTATAAGTCTGTTCAGGTTGTTATTGACCCCTCGATAATTCGACAAAACTACTTTAAATCTTGGTTCCTTATTGATCTCTTATCATGTTTGCCTTATGATATATTCTACATGTTTAAGAGAGACGACGAGGTTCTCATCTTTACTCTCTTTCCAAAGCGCATACTGATGATTTGTGTTCAGAGAATAGGTAGCCTATTTTCGGCATTGAAAGTAGTCCGACTGCTGCGATTGGGCAGGGTAGCGAGGAAACTTGATAACTACTTAGAGTACGGTGCAGCAACACTGTTGCTTCTGCTCTGTGCTTACGTTCTTGTAGCTCACTGGCTGGCGTGTATATGGTTTGTAATAGGAGAGCATGAAGTCAAACTTAAAGTGAGCTTTACCGTTTTTATTTCAACGCTTGACCATGGACATTAAGCAAAATCGAATTAAAATTCCAGATGGACAATCCATTGCTACCTGAAGGCTGGTTATTTCGGTTAGCAAATGATTTGAAAGCCCCATATAACATCAATATGTCTAACAGAACACGATTAGTAGGTGGACCATCACGAACAAGCTCCTACATATCGTGTCAGTTTAAATAAGAATGCTGAGATTGCTCTAACACCTTATCTTTTAGCTCTATACTTTACTATGAGTTGCATGTCTACTGTTGGATTTGGCAATATTGCCAGCACAACGGACAATGAAAAAGTAGGTCTTTTTCATAGAAGGATTCAACTAGAAAATGTATTGCAGCTGTTCGGCGTATGCATGATGATTATATCCGCACTGCTTTATGCGGCCATATTTGGTCATATGACAACCATCATTCAGCAGATGACATCTGCAACCGTAAGGTATGTGGCAATCAAGGTATATATTACATGATTGCTGAATTTTTCAGGTACCACGACATGATCAGCAATGTACGCGAGTTTATCAAACTCCAAGAAGTTCCCAAAGAACTTGCTGAGAGAGTAATGGATTATGTAGTATCTACTTGGGCAATGACAAAGGGTATCGACACGCAAAAGGTGATCAAACTTGAATATTAAACGAAAAACATGGTAAACAGTCTGGACAGCTCATTGAAGAAGCCAAATTCGAATGCAACAAATCGATCACAGCACATAATTGTCTAAGTAGTTCTCGATTATGTGCATACATGTATCACATCAAAACGTATTTAAAAGTGATTCCTTGCATTACAGTCAGCAACACATTCGGGACAATCTATTTTTTGACAGCAGTTTCACAAATCAGCTGTTTACAGGTGCTTGGTTACTGCCCCAAAGATATGAAAGCAGACATATGCGTGCATCTCAATCGCAAGGTCTTTAACGAACATTCTTGTTTTCGCCTTGCTTCGGATGGTTGCTTACGATCGTTGGCTATGTTTTTGGAGGTAAAACGTGCAAAGATTTCGCAAATACTGTATCGTTGATTCGTTGACCGCACGGACTGCTCAAATGC